TAAGCTTTTGAAAGTTCCCGTTTAAGAAATTATTCGATCATGGCATTTATTTTAGAAAGTCGGAACTATATTTTGTTAGAGTGTAAAAGAATTTGATATCTTATTTCGTTTTCCGTTAGTTTAGAAAGTCGAAACCAAAAATTGAGTCTCAACTCTCAACTATTACATTATTATGGTAAAGTATCATGTCCTCAGCAGAAAAGGATACTGTATATGAAAATACTAAACGGGCTGTCATGGACCGAAATTTTAAAAGCCCATTGATGAGCTCAGGCTGCCATCACTTGCTCTGGTTTATCCAGTTTTGTATTCGATTTCGTAACTTTTTGTGTATTATATAAATTAGTGAAAGAAAAAAAAAATGTCTATACGATATTATTACACTCGAAACATAGAAATTGGTATGTATACCTAAATCGGTGTGAAAGGAAAAGAATCTATTCCTAAATCCTCATACTTATTTAGTTTCTATCTGTGGGTGAATATTTTTAAGAGATTAACAGTGGGGAGTGACAATACATAGACAGACTTACAGTATATGATTATGGCTATTTAAAGAAAACTATATTCTTCTAAATTTTATATGCACTTGCCATTTTCCTTAGTCAACATTTTGTTTTGTCATATTTATGTTATTTCCGTATTTGAGTTAACCACTATATGAGTTTTAAAACTGAACCAAAATTAACCGAAATGTTTTGGTTTACACATGGTGAAGATCATACCGGTGGTACCACCAACACAAATTGATAAAATCTTATTATTTTGTTCAATTATAAAGATTACTAAGCAACATTTTGAAATTTTAATTTTTTTATAATAATGTTGAGTCGACTGACAGAGTCCGATCGAGTTTAATAACACTAATGTTTTTTTTACAACATCAATTAATGATTATTAGTTTTTGACCGAAAAAGGATAATTATTCTAAAGCAAATCGTATAGTTTAAAATTTTTTAGAATATAGTAATTATACAAACAATCTATATATCTTTTCTTTTTTTTGTTACTAATTGATCTAACAAATATAAGATCACGGTGATAATCAATCTAGTTTAATTATGTTATATTAATAACGTTTATTAATATGATGTTCCATATATCATGACATTAATATAAACCGATCTAGTATATATAAGTTGACTGGACTGGTAGAGTCTGATCGAGTTTAAAAACACTGAATTTTTTTGACAATAACAATTATAATGATTATTAATTTTTGATCAAAAGAGTAATTATTCTCATGCAAATTGTATGACCTAAAATTTATTAGAATATACGAACAATCTATATATCTGTTAGATTTTTTTTACTATCTGATTTAGGAAATATAAAATCACGGTGATACTCAATCTAGTTTAACTCCGTTATATTAATAACATTTATTAGAATAATGTTCCATATAGAGCGACATTAATATAAACCTAAAAAATAAATAAATTATGATAAATGGTTTATTTTTTAAATATGGTTTAAAATTAATTCGAATGTACATAAAACATATATTTTTGTTGACTGTTGATTTAATAAACATAAGATCGCAATGTTACTCAATCTAGTTCAACTCCGTTATATTAATACCATTAATGTGTGGGATACGGAGACATTTCTATAAAACACAAAATTAAACAGGTAATAACGGTTATTTTTTTAATCCGGTTTAATTTGTTATGTACACTAGAATTTAGTGATTTTATAATTAAATTAAATTTATTAATGATAAACCCAATCACGTCGAAATTTAAATGATTTTAAATATTATAATTAATCAATTTTTATCATTATGTTTACCAATAAAACTTTGTATATGGATAATGAAGGAAACTCGGTTTTGTTTTCATTTTTTTTTATCATTAGTCTTTCGGTATTGGTTTTACTTAACCGAACCGAAGTACAAACCAAAATAAAAATTAAAAAATTAAAACTCTTTAAGGATTGCTGACATAGTGGATGACGAAAGTTTGACCATGTAAAATTGTTTCCAAAATAAAATGGTTACAAACTTTGCTATATAAGAAAGCTATATTCCTCCTATGCAATACACACCCCCTCTATCTTTTTCTTTCGTGTGCGGCTATCTTCTTCTGAAGAAAAAGGTTTCTCCTCTTCCATCTATAAATCATGTCGTTATTATTTCATTAATATACCAATCATTTGATTCTAAATCTCACAAAATTATCACTTTTACACTAGATTCTGTTTCTTGACATCTTAGGGGTTTGTCAAAAATGAGTGATTTTGATGGAAACTTCATAGAAATGACGTCGTATTGGGCTCCACCGTCCAGCCCTAGCCCAAGAACGATATTGGCGATGCTGGAGCAAACCGACAATGGTATGAATCCGATAAGTGAGATCTTCCCTCAAACCAACACATCAAGAGATCATGATACTGATCAGTCTGGACAAAGATCTGGTCTCCGTGAGAGATTAGCTGCAAGAATAGGATTCAGTCTTCCAACACTCGATACAGAAAACATGAGTCCTTTGGATGCATTTTTCAGGAGCTCGACTGTTCCTAATTCTCCTGTTGTTGCAATCTCTCCAGGATTTAGCCCATCAGCACTACTGCAATCCCCCAATATGGTCAGTGATTCTTCACAGGTAAGTATTACTGTCTTTTTTTGTTTTATGATTGTTTTAATTTATAATACATATATAATTTATATGATAAACAGTATAAATATATCTGTAATTGAACCAATATTTGGGAATATGATTACGTATGTTATTATAATTCTATTTCGTGTAACATATATAAAAAGTAATATTGTTGTAAAAAAAAAAAAAAAAGGTAAATATCTATCGGTAAACACAGAATCTATTATTCCCTTTTGTTTAAGTTTGATACTATTTTTCATACCTATTTGCGTTTACTACTTACAAATGTTTGTCCCGGACTAATTTATTTTGTTTATGATTTTATGAATAAATTTTGATGCCCTGTAATTTTTTTCAAATGTCTTTTTTTAATCTACGTTTACATTTACATAAAATTACGTTTGAAGCCATCGGGATCTTTAGCTTCAATTCTAGAACCCTAACTACAATAGTCTTTGGTACTTTCTTGTTCCAGATTATCCCTCCGTCTCCAGCCACCAATTACGGACCTCCGGAGATGGTGGAAACTTCAGGTGAAGACAATGCAATGACGATGGCATTCAACAATGATTTTCCTTATCAGCCGTATAATGTCGATCTGCCTCCTCTAGAAGGTAATTGATTTGCTTGTGTCTCAAGTTTGCTTCCATTCTCAATTTTCCGAATCTTTTTGTCAGATTTTTCTTACTTGTGAAACAGTCTTTGATGATATTCCAACGGAAGAGTCCTTTTATATCCCATCTTATGAACCTGATGTTGATCCAATTGGAACTCCTTTAGTCGCTTCCTTTGAATCTGAGCTCGGTGACATTGACCCAATTGGAACTCCTTTAGTCGCTTCCTTTGAATCTGAACTCGGTGACGTTGACCCAATTGGGACTCCTTTTGTCGCTTCCTTTGAATCTGAACTCGGTGACGATGCCCATATCGACATCATTTCCATTGAGGACAGTGAGAGCGAAAATGAAAACAAAGATGAAGACGACGAGGACTACCAATTCGATTACGAAGACGAAGACCAAGATGTATATCTAGATGAAGAGGAAGAGGAAGATGAAGACAATGTTGCATTAGACGATGATGCTCAACCTTCAGCTCCAAAGAGAAGGTCCCAACAAAACTTATAACATCATAATCAATAATACTTTTAACAAAATCTTATTTAAGTTAACCATTACATATATAAACTCTTGCAGGAGATTTGATCAGGCATCAAACAATATTGGAGCCACAAGAACAAGCAAGACACAAAGGGTCATACTTCAGATGGAAACCGACGAAGACAATCCTAATGATGGTTATCGCTGGAGAAAATACGGTCAGAAAGTCGTCAAAGGAAATCCTAATCCGAGGTTGTTATATATCTCACCATCTTCTTTGTCTCTTTTCCCTAACCGATTTAATCATCTTACACATTTATATGTTTTTTTATATGTTAATGTGTAGGAGTTACTACAAATGCACAAACAATGAGTGCAAAGTGAAGAAACATGTGGAGAGAGGAGCAGACAACAATAAGTTAGTTGTGACTACATACGATGGAATACACAACCATCCTTCACCACCTGCACGTAGAAACAATACCGGTGGAAGGAATCGGTCTGCAGGTACAACAATGCCTCAAAATCAGATGGATCGAACCAGTCGGTTAGCTAGGGATCATCCTCCTCCGTCTCGCACACCTGTGGAGATGAGGCCTTTCTCTTCGATGGCTCCACAAGTTGATCTGACACAGGTTTATATGAGCGGAATCTCTAAGCTGCCGAATATACCAGTTTACCAGCTGAATCCGGGGTTTATGTACCGGAATGATGAACCGATGATGAATGTGATGCCGGATGGTTCAGATGTGTACCCGATGATGAATGTGATGCCGGATGGTTCAGATGTGTACGGTGGGATCATGAACCGCCTATTTGTTAAGTTTGGTGTGGACATTTAGATGTAACCCTTCTTTTTTTTTCTTATAACCCTCATCGTCATTGATATACAACAACTTGTATTTTCATGATCAGCTTAATTATAAATATTGAATAAACTATTTCTTTTCGATGCTTTCACTCATTTAATTTCTAACAGTTCGAGATGTTTAATCTAGAAAATGGAACCAATCTAACTAATAGAAATTTTGATTTTCTAATCCAAACTAATTAAATTAAAGCAAAACCGGGGGAAAAAAATTATGGGCTGATTAGTAACGAATTATGGCTGCAGCAATTGTGACATATTATTGTTTTGTCACTGCAGCAATTGTGGCATCTCCGAGAAACAACAAAAACATAAAAGAAAAACGAAATCAACAGTCAGCGAAATAAATAAAACAACTTTGAAAATCAAGAAAACAAAAAAAATATCATTGATGAACATATACACATGTTCGTAAGATGAACAAAATCTCTATAATGTCATCACGGTATTGCTTTGTCTACATTCGGGAAAGAGCAATAGCGTCAGTCATCACTTACTTTTTCCAGAAGTGTAGACAAAGAAGCACAGAGATGACATGTTACTATTCTTCTGTAGTCGCAAGCCCTAAACTCTGCAAATGAAAAAGTATCTGTGTGTATATTTATAGGAGGCCTGGCTTCTCTAGGGTTACAACAATCTGAAAACCCTAGAAGAAACTATAACGAAGTCGCCGCCGCTAAAGGAACTCGAAATAGCGTGTTGACCAAATTTGTAAAACATGGGCTAAGCCCAACTTGTTTTAAAAGCCCATCTGCAGAATAAAATTAAAATATTCAAAATCTGAACCGAAATTCGAATTGAACCGGTTTCTACGAGGTTTGTCTATGGTTTGAATTTAAACCGATGGTTAAATGAGCCGGAGAAGTCGGTAAGAATATGACTAATCCTGCGTCCAAACAATAACTTTCGTCTTTCTTAATCGTGTCAACGGCTCAAAAGGAGAAGAAGAAGATTGAAGAAGCATTGGAGATTCTGGGAATTGGAATTGAAGAGGGAGATATAGATTTCATTATGGAGGAAGTGACGAGATCTGTGTTAGCGGAGGAAATACTAAAGCGTTTAGATCTGGAGAATCTTTGTTCCGTCGCCTGCGTTTCCACAACTCTCCGCTCCGCCGTTGTCTCCGGCGTTCTACCTTCTCTTACCTCTCTCGATCTCTCTGTGAGTTTCCGATTCTCTGCAATTCGGAGGTTTTTTTATCTGGAAATTTATCGAATTTTCGTTTCTCTTAGATTTTCTCTCCGGACGATGAAACTCTGAATCATGTGCTGCGTGGTTGTATCGGACTTAGTAGCTTAACTCTGAATTGTCTCCGCCTTAACGCTGCTTCTGTGCGTGGAGTTCTCGGGCCACATCTCCGAGAGCTTCACTTGCTCAGGTGTTCGCTTTTATCCTCCACCGTCCTCACTTCCATCGGCTCCCTCTGCCCAAATCTCCGGTATAATTTCCATGAACTTTTTGATAGGTGACTCAATAAATTCTCGTGCTTTTGGTTATGAAAAAGGTGAAATTTGACGAAAAGTCGCATTTTTTGTGAAATAGAGTAATTGAATCGAATCGAATCCTCTGTCTTTACTTATTGGGATCATTAGATGTGGCTTTTGTCTATCATATTCTCTGTTTATATGATTTTTTTAGTGTGAAGCATATGGAGTTGAAGTGATGATAAGTGAGTAATTAAGAGGTTTTTTTTGGTTGAATTACAGGGTTCTTACCCTGGAAATGGCAGACTTGGATTCTCCCGCTGTTTTTCAGTCTAACTTGACGCAGATGCTTAACGGGTGTCCGTATCTGGAGGTAATTTGTTAAAGCTTGCTGAGGCATTGGTCCGAAGAAGCGAGAAAGTGTGAAATTGAATTGGGTTTTATATTCTTGTGATGCTTGCAGTCTCTGCAACTTAATATCCGAGGTATCCTAGTAGATGCCACCGCTTTCCAGTCTGTTAGATTCTCCTTGCCAGAAACTCTCAAAAATCTAAGGTTACAGCCACTTCTTGAGTCTGAGGCAATTCTTCTCATGAACAGATTCAAAGTCACTGGAACTTATTTGTCTCAGGCTGATTATAGTGCCTTGCTTTCTCCTTCACCTTCTTTTACTTTGCAAAGCCTGTCTCTTGTCCTGGACTTGATATCTGACAGGCTAATCATAGCTATCACAGGTTCTCTTCCTCAACTTGTCAAACTGGACCTTGAAGACCGTCCTGAAAAAGAGCCATTTCCTGACAGTGACTTGACTTACACTGGGCTTCAGGCTCTCGGTTGTTGTCAGCAACTCACAAGCCTCTCTCTGGTTCGAACTTGTTACAACCGCAAGATATCATTCAAAAGAATAAACGATATGGGTATATTTCTTCTTTCCGAGGCTTGCAAGGGTTTAGAGTCAGTGAGGCTCGGTGGGTTCCCAAAAGTCAGTGACGCTGGTTTTGCATCGCTCCTTCACTCATGTCGGAACTTGAAAAAGTTTGAAATACGAGGTGCTTTTCTGTTGTCTGATTTGGCATTCCATGACGTCACAGGGTCTTCCTGTTCTCTTCAAGAGGTCAGACTCTCGACGTGCCCTCTCATAACCAGCGAAGCCGTGAAGAAACTGGGGTTGTGTGGCAATCTCGAGGTGCTCGACTTGGGCAGCTGCAAAAGTATATCAGATTCTTGCCTCAACTCTGTTTCAGCCCTGAGAAAGTTAACTTCTCTGAATCTCGCAGGAGCTGATGTAACCGATAGTGGCATGCTTGCACTTGGTAAGTCAGATGTTCCCATCACGCAACTGTCTCTCCGCGGCTGTAGGAGAGTCAGTGACAGAGGAATATCCCATCTGTTGAACAATGAAGGAACAATCACCAAAACATTATCAACACTTGATCTCGGTCACATGCCAGGAATCTCAGACAGAGCCATCCACACAATCACACACTGTTGCAAGGCTTTGACAGAGCTGAGTATCAGGAGTTGCTTTCATGTAACAGATTCTTCGATAGAGTCGCTGGCTACAAGGGAAAGACAATCAGAGGGAGGAAGCAAACAATTGAGGAAGCTCAATGTCCATAACTGTGTGAGCTTAACAACTGGAGCACTGAGATGGTTAAGCAAGCCGTCTTTCGCAGGTCTGCATTGGCTCGGATTAGGACAAACACGATTCGCTGGTCGAAAAGAGACGGTTACAGCTACGATTTGTGGACAGAGGCCATGGCTCACGTTGTGCTTCGATGGATGTGAGCTTGGATGCTGTGATGGTTGGGAATTCCACACGCCACAACGCCACTGAAGAACTCAATTGTCTCACTAGTTCATGTATTGTATAAAATCGTTCAGAAACATGATTCAGTAGGATGTGTAATTTATTTAAACTTCTTAAAAATTTGATTGAAAACTATTTAAAGATAAAATAATTGCAAGAAATGTGTTATCTTTATACTAATAACTAGAAATGAACCCGCGGTACACCGCGGGGCTATATACTTTTAAAATAAAATTAAAATTTATTTTTTAAAAATTATCTATAGATATAACCTATTGTTTTGTTTAATTTAAATATTTATATATATGTATATATTATATATATTATTTCGCGGTACAGCTCGGGTCGATTTTTTATAACTAAAATTTTAAATTTTAAGTTGTAATTGTTTTGTGAATATTATTTGTTTTGTTTAGTGTTTAAAATTATATAATTTTATTTGATTGTTAATTCTACGATTTTACCCGTAGTATACCGTCCTGTATTAATATCGACCCAAACATGTCCCACCATATAACCCCGTCCCGTGAAATTCAAGTCAATTTGAATAATATTTATATTATTGTATATACAATTCGAGTCAATTTAAAATTTTGCTTTAAAAATATCTATCGTAAATTGTACTGAAACCCATGATTTATTTCAAAAATATCTCCGAAAATGTAAATATAGATATTTTATATATATATTTTTTTGCATCTATTTTATGAAATAAATCCTGGATTTTGAGATTTGTAGATTAGAAATATCGAAAATGATAATTTGGTATTAATTAAATGCTCTCAAAAATCTTGTAGGTAAGATTTTAGAAACTAACGTTTGAGTTAATATGGAGATATTTTCGCAATATTGTTATACGGCAAATCTTAATCTTTAAATATGAAAAAATAATTAAATGCAGTGGCATAGACTCGTAAATACATCCAACTCTAGGATTTATTTACTAAATATACTCCAAAAATGTATATATAGATGTCAAAGGTATATTCTTATACTGTATTTGTAAACTTGCAATAGTAACATGCAGAAAGATAGAACCAAAAAAACATGTGATTCGTAAAATAGTTTTTTAAGTTTTAACTAAAACAATTAGTGAAGGATATAAACGATTATAAGTGCCTATATACAGTGGCGGACCCAGGAATTTTTTTTACCTGGGTCAACTAAGATATAGAAAATTAATATAATGGTGGCAATGAGGTTTATTACCTAAACTGAACTATGGGCTTATGACCCAATAAAAAAATATAAGAAAAAACAATGTCAAGAATGAGAATCGAACCTGAATTAGGGGGGTCAAAATATTAATTTTATACCAAATGAGCCACGGAAGCATGTTTGTTAAGATGAAAACTATCTAGTATTTAAATTTTAGGTGTGTCAGATGACCCCCCATTTCACAACATGGGTCCGCCACTGCCTATATATATATATATTAGCCTGAGCAGATGGCAACATACACTTAAAATCTGGAGCAAAACCAAGCCAACTACTGAAGATTTGACTTGTGATTGGTTAAGTGGTCACGTTGATTAGTTAGTTAATTATGAAAAAACAAAATACCCACATTTTCTTATTTATTTACATACTTCCACATTAACGACAAATGTTACCTGAATCAACATCACGTGTCGGTTTCACAAACCGAACACCCGAAAACCAGAGTCTTGTCTTCTCCTTAACAATTCTTGTGGAGTTCCTACTAAAACATTAATTTTCTGTTAGTTCGTTACAATATAGTCATCTATATATTTTTTCTAGCAATTTTCTAGTGTCCTTCAATATATACTTGGTCCACTCACATCTCACCAAAAGTAAATAAAATTTTCTTATATATATAGTTTGCATTCTTTGTATATTAAGTAGTCAAAAAGGTAGTAGCAGAGAGATTCAACGTAAATAATTGATATAAAGAACAAACCAGAATATTTCAGCAAAGAAAATTATTTGATCACAAAACTTTGGAAAGTATAAAAAGAGCAAAAGTAAAAAAAGTCAAGAAAAAATAGATTGAGATTGATGGATGGAAGTAAATAGAGAGTGGGTGTGTCGAAGAGCATGAGGGATTGCTTCTGTCAGTAAGCATATGAAGTATTTATATTTCACCTAAAGCCCTAAATCCATTTTCTCTTCTTTTTTTTATAAATATTTTTTTGACAAAATATCATCCATATATAAGGCCATGGATGCTTTTTTAAAAATGTTTACAAACGATTTTTCTTATAAAATATTTTATTTAGATATTAACTTAATTTGTTGGGTGAAGTTTTGGTTTCTATCTACACGCAAAATTGGCTTTCAGCTCA